AAAAGTATAATTAGTAAAATTTTCCTTTTCATTTTATAATTATTGAATCATGCTAGGAATGATCGTGTGAGCCAAAAATTAGAACTTCAATTGTTGAAATAAACGATGCCTAGATTGACTTTAATAAAAGGATATATATACAGATAGTTATATAAACAAGATAGTCATATGACAAATTGAGAAAAATACAGAAATTTTATATAAGAGTGTTTTCACTCAAGTCCGCCCAATTTTTACATGATTTCAAGCCAGCAAAGTTCCACTATGCTTTGATTGTAGCCCGTGTTGATTTGGATAAGCCTACATCTCTAGTTTTTAAAATAATTGTATCGAAAGTGACCGGGGCAGGCTCGTAAAAGTCAGTTTTGCCAAAAATCGTGCACTAATGTTCTAAAGAAAGCGTCTCTTAAAAATCCGAGAGAGCCCACACACAGAGCTCGGAAAGTTGTTTATAAGAAACTACACTTGTAAATGGACAGTCTTCACCACTCCTTGTCATAGACCGTGGGGGCCCTCAAGGCTCGATTTTAGGCCCACTTCTATTTTTAATATTCATCGGCGATATTTGTAATAATAAACAGTCAAAACTTCGTTTATTTGCGGACGATACGTCAATGTATCATAGCTCGAATCTTATAAGTGAAAATGTGTTAAATCAAGATTTAGAAAATGTTTTAGAGTGGACCGAATTCTGGCAGTTACCCTTGAATTTAAAAAAATGTGTAGCAATATTTTTCGGCAAAGTTCCTACACGCCCCCAGCTATTATTGAACGGAAATGTGATTCAGTATGTCGATCGACATAAACATCTGGGCTTGCACTTAACACCTAAGCTAGACTGGTCTTTACATGTATACGAGGTCACAAAAAAGTGTAAATATACATTATACCTAATGCGCTGTTTCAAAAATATTTTAAGTACGACTACACTCGACCAGATCTACAAATCGTATATTTTGCCAGTGATAAGTTATGCAGATGTAATTTATGCATGTGCGAAAGAAATTCAAACTGCAAATACTCCTTTGTCTACTGTATTAGCTTACTTAAAACCAATTGCAAGGCTACAGTACGATGCTGCACTGACTGTTAGTGATGCTATGCGTCTCAGTTCACGAGATAAAGCCCTTAACATACTAAGATGGCTATCACTTGAACATCCCTTTGCAATGCATAAAATATTACTATTATTCAAAATATTTAGAGGCCTTACTCCACATTTTCTAGTTGATAGAATACCCACGTTAGGAGCAACAACAACTATGACTCTGCGATCTGCTTCTAACAATCGTATAAACACATACCGTACTTATAAAGTTAAGTTTGACACAACATTTTTTCCATGGACAATTAAGCAGTGGAATGCACTACCTACTGCTCTCAGTGCAACATTTCTTTTTGGACTGTCAAAATAACCAGCGCTGCAGAACAGCTTTTCAAAACGACTTGAATGCTCTGGTAAACGCTCCTCTTTCTCTAGAACACATACTTTTTCAAAAACTCGTACCTTCCTTAAATGAAACAGAGATGAATGAGTTATATAAGATTGTAATAAGTTTTATTAGAGACACACAAAGATTTTAAATTTGAATTTCCCCACTAGTTCATTTCTTCTTTGTTATTATTACCA